ATTACTCCAATCTATGCAATTTTATTCATAGTGTGTTGGTAAATTGAAATTATTAAAATATACTAAATAAAAACATGTAGATGAAAATTAAAATAAAAATATTTTGTTAGTACCATGTATCTACTCTTTTGGGCGTAAGAACATTTTTTTCTACGAAAAAATTTTGATTTATTAACAAGAATGGTACTTTTTATTTTTATAAGCAAGCAACATATTTTATTCTAATTTACTCCAATTATAGAATTTTATGGGTCTCCTGAAAAGTAGCATATTTACAGTTACGTATTGTTAACGTTAATGTACCATTATGCTAATCAATTGATTTATAATAATTTTGGGATTTTATTTATTAATACATTTACTTTTAGGAGAGTACACTACTCAACAAGGATTCATTAAATGAAAGATAAAACAGCACAATGATGGGCAGACGTATTTTAAATGTTTATGATACTCTATAGAAAACGATTAATATATCATCTAAACCAAAATCACACAACATAATAAGAGTTATCGAAAAAAAAAGTTGGCAATGAAAATTAGACTCAAGCCAGAAGAATATTCTGTAGAATCATACTTAAAGCAATAGAAAATTGATAACACCAATTTTTGAAACGTCGATATAAGCCGTATCAATTATACGACGGATAATTCGTAGTCGCAACCGTACAAACACGTACACCCAAGGAATGATGACTTAGCGGTATGGTAAACCGACCGAAAGAATAAAAAAAAAACACTGAAGAACAGCAACGTGAAAAAATATTTTGCGACGAGATGAACGATAAGCAGTATAAGAGAGCGTCATCGAATGTTCGTGGTACGAGAGAGAGAGATTGTTTGAGAGAAATAAGGACGGAGAGAGTGATAAAGAGAGAGTGATAGACCGCCGTAGTGACATCATCTCACTCATAATAGTCATGGGCGTGGTGTGGTGCAAACGGTATCTCGCCGTTCCAGCGGGCCGCTGATTACCGACCCGACCATTGTGCGTCACTTGGTCGCTTGGGTTCAATACCTAACGCATTGTCGTCGATTCGACGAAGAAATCGTCACACGACGTGCACCACCGACTGGGATCGTCCAAAACGTCTAAACTTTCCGTTTTTCACGTGCAGCTAGCGATCGCATAAACGTACACGACATCCGTACCCGTTCACTGCGAAGGACGACACTCGATCGGTCGTCGAGTACTCGCACGCCTCAGCAGCTGATGCCGTCGATGATAGTTCATTGAACTTCAACGTACGTCGATCAATAAGAATATCGTACGTCGTTGTACGCATGCGTAATTGATGAGTCGCAGTTTTACCAGAAACTGCTTAGGGCAAGAACACCGCGACCGCGCCCACATTTGGAATTTGCGCTTCATCCGAGATATTATAACCATTGAGGTGCACCAATCGTAGTAGTGCAGACAATCGATTCCTAAATATACCCGTGCTCCGTTCAATCGCTTATAACGTGTTGAAGCACGACTGAAGTTATTCGCGTCACCTTTTGCGGAGGGTGTATCGTCAACGACGTGTTTCAAGGTATTTCGTTCATCCAAAACATCTTCTTAAAGTTTTTTACCTTTCGTAACGGAGGTTTTTTTTTTTTTTGATGACGAATCAAAAGTCAAACGGCTGTTGAACACAATTTGACCATTTTCCATAAAATAAGAGTGAAAGACTGAGATTACTAATTATGCCATAATCTTCTATGCCTCTTTCGCCTTTTCCCCAACTTTGGAGTCGGCAACCGTTGCCCTAAACCTCCACTCATCACGATTTTCTAAACCCCTACACATACACCAACAGCCCTCATATCATTCTCAATAGTATCTAACCATCTCTTTTTTAGTCTTCTTCTTTTATCTTCAACGTTCATTTTTATAACAATTCTTACTATTATATAGTATATTTTAATAATATCAATTTACCAACACACTATGAATAAAATTGCATAGATTGGAGTAATTTTAATGTATTGAAAGTTTTAATTTCAAGTTTTTTTATATCAAATAAAATATAATTATAAAAATGTATAATCAATGACAGCATACCTAATATATGTAATCATTTTTTAATTATAATATTTAACAAAATATTAACAAATATTTAAGTACTTAATTCCATGATAATCTCATTATTGAAAACAAAAATTTAAATTCAAAATAATAATGACAATTATTATAATATTTTAAAACTAATATAAAAATAATAAATTACCAAATTGTTGTCTAATAAGGTTTTATAAGACTTAATGATTGATAAATCATATTCATATATTTTAAAGTAGTCAATCATCTGAGACTATTTTTAAAACAAAAATTTAAATTCAAAATAATCATAACAATTCTTATGATATTTTATATAACATTCAATTTCAAACTTTAATTTGAATGAATATAAAATTATAATTATACATTTACACTTTACTAGTTTAAGTTTAATATGTTTTGATATGTGGTAAAGTATCATAGATTGAGTGTCTCTGGGTAAAAACTTTTTAAGGTTCTGTAGGTCATTCCATATTGATAAACTTATAGGTAATGGTTTACTGTATAGTTGCTTATAATTTTCTGTTATATCAATTTTATTATTATTACTATTATTATTATTATTATTATTATTATTATTATATAATATATTCATCAAATAATTTTGCATCATTTTTAGCATTCATTACAACAGTGCTGTTTATTTATTTATTTTAATATTCTGTTCTCATAAAATAAGTTAGTAGAAATATTGTGTACCAATTGTTGATTATCAATAGGGTTTTCAAATAGGTTTGTTAGAGAAAGATAATGTATGTAGAGACAAACGAATGTAGGGAAAAAAAATTTAAATTTTTAAAAAATAAATATTATTTTAAGACTTTAATGCAGAAAGAAAACTCAAATTAAGTACACTGTAATACATTGCTCCAAAAACTGTTTGATTTTTGTTTTTTTGCATCTTCAGTTATTTTTATATAATGATAATTATAAAACAAAATGATTCTACTAATGTCGATATAAAAATCTCATTTTGTCAAAATGTCAGATATGTGTTGTTAATGCATTAAGGTAGGGGATATTGAAGTCTAGTTGAGGTTAGATAATACTATAGTTCTTGAAAATAAACAGATATTCATAGTCTCAAAATAATCTAAATTTAGTTTAAGTCTGCCTTTAGTAAAAAAAATAACATTTATACTGTAAACAGTGACTTGTATAACATCAATTAAGAAGTTCTGTAATTCATTGATAACTTCATTTAACAATATTTTAGTATGTCAATTTTTTTAATTTATATAATGTTATAATGTATAGTATTAAGAAAATGTATTCTATGATTCATTTAAAAATCATAAATGTTAAAATACTATACTAATAAACAATAAGTGTACCAAACCAATTGAAATCTCAATAATTTCCAATAGCAAAATCTTTCTTCAGTTTTAAGAATTTTAATATTTATATGTATATTTAAACAAAACTGAAAGTTTTATAATTTTTTCTAGATTTTATACTACACATTAAATAAATTTAGAAAAACAAATATTATGTTATATAGTATAATAATAAAATTAAAAAATATTTAATAAAACATAATAAAAAGTAAGAGCGTTTATTAATCATTCCATTGTGTGTTTTTTTTATGCAAATTCTTACCATTTTCAATGAGTCTTTCAATATATAGTATCAACATATTACCTGAAAATCGATCATGATTCATACATATTCTTATCCATCTTATCCAACTTGCTCAAGTTTATAAGAGTCAGGAAACCATCTTGAATATTTTTAATATGTCAGTAAGTCTTACTTAGCCTTACTAAGTGAAATCAGAACTCTAAATATAATTGTTTATAAAAACTTAAATTTATAATAAATAAATATTATTTTAAAACCTTTATGCAGAAAGAAAACTCAAATTAAGTACATTTTAATACATTGGAAATATTTTGTGTTACCGTTATCTTTGAACATACTGTATATTAGATATTTAATAAATATAGTCGGTACGTTGTCATTCAAATGCTTATTTAAATTTATCATTTGATCTGTTCACAGATTTAGATTTTCAAACAAATTTATTATTTTTTTCAAGAAAAGAAGATGAATTCATATCCAGATACAACATTAGTAACTATTAAGGAAGAACCCATGGAGGAAGAATATGTACCTGTAGAAGAAGAACGTATACCTGTAGAGGAAGAACATATACCTGTAGTGGAAGAACATAAAACTGTAGAGGAAGAACATATAACTGTAGAGGAAGAACATATACTTGTAGTGGAAGAACATAAAACTGTAGAGGAAGAACATGTAGTCGTGGAGGAAGCATTTGTTCAAGTGAAGAAAGAAAACGTACCTATAAAAAAAGAATATGCACCTGTTAAGAACAAATATACATCAAAAAAGAAAGGTTACTGTAAAGGAAGAATATGTATCTAGAAAAAGATTAAATGTACGAGCTGGGGAAGAAAATGCATATTTAGAAGAAGAATATATGAACAGATTTAGTAGAACAAAGCTACTACTGCAAACAAGTGAGACAAGAGAAAATCTCTTCTGTCCACGTTATATGATTAGAAGCGATTTTATTTCGGACGATCCTGATTATGCTAAACTATGGGCGTGTGAACTTTGCGGAACATTTTTTATTGAGCCCAAAGGCAGCTATGGATCATGACAAGAAATGTCGGCCAATTTTTTTGGAAAGAAGAAAATATACCAGATGAAATGAACCAGTGAGTTTCATTAATTCGCTAATAAATATTGTTAACTTCAATACAGTTGTATATATACATATTTATAAATTGATTTTTTATTTTAGGATTATGGACACACATAAGTTTTATCCATGTTTATATTGCATTTTGATTTTCAAGAGAAGAGATGTCTGGCGCCGTCACATGAAATATCACGAAACATTTCCTGCCATTCACAAAATAAGTTTTAAAAGTTTTTTTGAAAAAAACAAAAGGCATTCCTATAGGATACTTTTAAGGTGGTGAACTCCTATAATGTGTTTAGTATCATAGAAGTTTATAGACAGATATCAACAAAAATATTGTAATACTATTTATATAAAACTTATTCCAAAAAATGTATTTACCTTTAGTTGTACCTATTACACTACAGTTTAGCCTTTATATTCTCTAGGTTTATGATTAAATTATATTATAGTTAGGATTTTTTTGATTATTAAAATAAGTAATAAGAATCCAAGTAATTAAATAATAATAATAATAAAAAATTAAAATAATTTGAGCGATAATCTAACACTGTTTATCTAGTTGTAGTATAGCTGCTATACTCTAGTGTAAAGCATTGGTTTATTTCAATTTATAAAAGAAATAATTAAAATAGTAATCTATATTATTTTACTATGAAAATTTTAGTCATTAATTTAATTTTGTTAACACAATTATAAGAAATAAAAAAAAAAAAAATGTAGTTATATTATAATAATATTATAATATGTAGTTATATTCAAAAATAAATTACTTTATTACATTAATTTAATTTATAAAAAATTTAAATTAATTATTACTAAAATAAGAAGTAATACTTTATCAGTAGTTAAATTTCTTTAAGATATATTACCTATTTAAATATAAGTAGTAAACTTCATTTTAAACTTTCCTAAAATTAATAGATTGTAAAATAATATAATTGTATTGTCCCTAATTTTATTTTTATAGATTAGTTATCTATTAATGGAATTTTTATCCTTGTATGGAATTGCACCTTTGCTTTTTTTACTTTATAAAAGTAAATCACCCTTTAATATTAGATGTTTGTTATGTTATTATTTGTTTGTTATATTAAATAAAATAAATTGGAGTTCATTGGAATAAAAATAAATAAATAAAATCTAACCATTCAATTTTGATAGTTATGATTAGGCTTCAGAAAATATTACACATAAAAAATTGTATAAGTGCTGTAAAAATATCTAAAAATAAATTGTACAAGTATTTTTTTAATAAAATTATCTAATTATAAATTTGAGTTATTTTACAAAATGTCAAAATAAAAATGCATACTTATACTAGAATAGTAGTTTAAATTTGGTTTAGTCTGGTCTGCTTTAAAATTCAGTTTTATTACAAATATTAGTTATGTGGTAGTTTGTGTAAAGGTATCGTAAAACTAATAATTCTAAATAGGCAATGCTCACTCAATTCATCAATGAGAACAAATTTGATATTAACATGTTCATCTGTGACACAGTATCCTAATACATATTATAAATAATTAATATAACAATATTTTATTGTAAAATACAAATCATTAAAGTGTGTGTGATCGATGATTCAATTTTGTTCATATTTATTTTAGGTTACCTAAAAAATCTGAAAATGTATACGGATACAAGATAGTTTTTTCCGAACCACTGAACATTTTCTCCTTGTCAAATTTGGCATGCATGTAATTTATTTGCCACTCCATTTTCACTTATAATATTGGTCTTGACTTAGATATCATTCTAAATCACTGTATTTTCAATACGTTTTTAATATGTATAGATTTTGATAATAACTAAAACTTTCTCTTAAACATTCTATCACTGGTGTTGTGTTAAATAATTATTTAAATTGGAATTTAATGGTGTTTACTCCTTCTAATCTACTTTCCCAACTTTTTTCAACCTATTTTTTAATTTTCATAGTTTATAATATTTTTAAATAATATTCCAATGATGATTTAAGGAAGAAAATATTTTAAAAAACAATTTTAATCATCCTTAAATATAATAAGAAATAATGGTACTTTTTGAAGAAACTTTAATCAATAAATAAGGTTTTTTGTTATATGTAAGACTTAAAACAATTCACTTGAGTAATTTGTCCAATCATATTTCAACCATTATCTTTTTTCTCTAAAATCTTGTAACTCAATGTCAGAGTGTTTTAACTGTTCAATTAAAAAAATAATATTAAAACCCGTTGTTGATTTAATTATAGTGAAAATAACATTTAGAAATAATTAATTTGGGTATCACACAATTCGTTTTTTCTATTAACTTTATATTTACTAACGAGTAATAATTTAAAATTGTTCTTGTTTACTAATATTTGGTGTAGTGTTTATGACTATGGTATAATATTGAGATCTTAAATTAGTTTTTTCTGTATATCATTTAGACAATGCACATGTATATCGTGATTTTAAATTCTACTAAAATTGTCACTAAAAAACTGGGTCAAATTTGCCAATAATTTCCAATAGGACCAAGAAATTTTAATTATTTATTATAAACATTACATCAAACATTCCTACCTAGAATAGCCGTATTGTGTTTAGCTATATAGTGAATAGCTGCTAAAATATTTTTTAAAACATTTTTCAAAATGTATTTTTTCTTTTTATATAGTTTTAAATTTAATTTTATCAATGACAATCATTTGTTGTATTTTAATTTTTTAGATAGAATCAAATTTCTGTGAAACAAAAATGTTCACATTTGAATCAGTTTTGTCCGGTTACGTGCCAACCGTTTGATCCGTTAATTCAGTTACAACGTCTCAGTCAACGCTTGAGTGGAAGTGTAGTCAGGAATAATTAAGACTTCTTTTTAAAATAATTAAATTTATTTAACTTATAAAATTATCCTAACTACAAAATTCTGTAAATATTCTAGTGATAGAAATTATTTAAGTCCTAACAATTGTAACTTATAAAATAATTGGAAATATTTCTAAGTCCAGACCATAACATACACTGACGTGAAGGTGCTCAGTGCAGCATAGACAAGACTCGTCTGATTTGCCCTTGTTTTCGGATCCCTTTTATATGTGATATTGTATGTGTGTGTGTAAAATCCCAAATGTGTGTGTGTAAATGAATAAGATAATAAAATAAGATAATTTCCTATAAATTGTGAGTGTGTGTGCGTTATCTCCAGACCGTGACATAATTATTGACGCAAATGCCCAGGATGTGGTCACCACATCATTCCGATAAACTATTTTATTTCAATTTCCCAGAAAAACGTTTATGTGAACCCTTTCACTTGTGATTTCGATATTCTAATTCCTTATTGTAATCTCTAGTGTAATAACCACGTGAACACAATAATCTAACTTATCCATAGTTGTGGTTTTTGATGTACATGGGAGCCTCCTTGTGATGTGTTTTACCGTGTGACTACGCGGGACGCGACAGTCCCTAGTATGATTCCAATAATTGCTTTATTGCTGTACAAATTTTCTAAATAAACAAAGTTTATGATTATCTGTATTTAATTAGATATTTATCATTGTTGCCGTCTAAAAGAGAGTGAGAGATAGTGATGGTAAACTGCTATTTTTTTTTTTTTTTTATAACATCTGATAATGCTATTGCTGTTTTAAAATAGCAGTGATAAATAGCAGCTATTGCTATTTTGTAATAACAGCTGATAATATATTATATAATGATTATCATTAATTTTAAATTTGATATTTTAATAGCAGCTTATGTATATTATACCAAATAGCAGTCTATTAGATCATTATATATATATATATATATATTTATTTATATCTAAAATCTGAGCATACGATAAGCGTCGATAACACGCGCATTATCAATTATCACATGTCACAAATATATAAAATAAACTTATTATATCTGTGAATTACGTCTTGCCAGCCGCCAAGATGCTTCTGCTATTTTTCATACTATATTGAGTGTTCTAACTTCTAATACAATAGTAGCTATAAAATAGTGTAGGAAACTAGGAAAACATAAAAACCAAAATTCAAAATTTAGCAATCACTGCTTTTGTTGACATTGGAAAGCAGTCTGCGATTGCTATTGTAAAATAGCAGTGCTATTATAACTGCTACTACTATTTCCTACCATCACTAGTGAGAGATTTTGTGAAGTAAAATAAAAAATATTTTGTTCTTTTACCTGTTATTCAAATATCAAAGCATAACTTCTATGAATAATATTATTACGGCTACCAGTCAGTTAATTTAATAATCTTGTTCCTATTTCAATGAAAGATTCAAGATTTTCAATAATTAATCAATTTCATTATATATTTTTATTTTTTGATTTTATAAATGAATTAATTTATATATTTACTTTATTTAGATATTAGAAATAGTACTCGTCATTTAAAACGACGTATCACGCCTATCAGTTCTATGAAACTCAAACTAGTCGCGTTTTATGTATTGCGTTATACAATTTTTTCATATAAAATAATAAGATTTGTATTTGTTATGAAAAAGTTCAAGATGGTTAATTGGTTTTTAAATTAACAATTTTCACTTTAATTGTTGGCTTATGGATTTACTTGAGAAATAAGTATAACATTTAATTAGGGAGAACAACCCATGTTTTTTCTTATTCGTTCCGTTATCATACCTGCGTAGAAGTAAATATTTTACTATATAATATCCGGTACAGAAGTACTTTTATCGAATTATGATATCGCATCATTTTTTTTCCACAGTGCAATAGATTTTTTTATCGAAATATTCGGAACAATAAAGTGTCTTACCAATAAATCCTTCATCGAAATGTAGAAAATCATTTGCGATCAATCGATATACTATATTATTGAATTCCACGAGAAAACATCGCGGTTTCTTTTTAAACAATTTTCAATAATCTCGTCTCAATATGATCGAATGACGTGTCGGCTAAGGTGAGGAGACCCGAAGCTCTTTCGCGATTAAATGCTTGATGCGACGACGACTGCAGAAGGTGGACAGTAAAGATCAACTCGGGCCCGAGTCAACCCGGACCGGACCGATATTGGGTTAGGTCCGGTCCGATCACATGATTTTATATTCTCTTGGTTTAGATGTGTTCGGGCTTGAGAAATCATATAATGGGTTAGGTTTGCATTAATCATAATATATTTTTAATACCACTGTTGCGGTATTTTGTTCTTTTGGTCTGGATTAAAAATAGTATTTTTTTTTTCAATTTATTTCTAATTATTAATAAATAGTTCGTATTTCTTAAACTTACTTTATAAAATACGGTAATTTCACTCTTCATGTATTATCGGTTATTAATATTATTTTCCTCCAGGCAGGAAATTATAATAATTAACGTTGTTTACTGTTGAATGTACACTAAAATACGATATAGAAATAATACTGTGGAATGGGAATGTCTAAAATTGT